TTATCTTAATATGGTGGGTTTTTTTTTACAATACTTGTTTCTTTTCAGAGCTGTTAAGTTTCTGGGACAACTTTCAAACTTGTTGTTCAAGGATCAAGCAGCTTCCAGACTTATTTGCAAAAACTGGTGCAGAAACATTTGTTAAACTGAAAACATGGAAAAGAAAAAGTATGCTTACTTTTCATACATCAGTGGATTCTTTTTTAGCGCACATACAATGAAACATGAGTATTCATATGCGGTGGGGCCAAATTTTATTCGAAATGTAGCATTCGGCCAAAAAGGCATATTCAAAAGCTCTAAAATGTAAGGGTCGGAAATAGGGTATCGTTTGAATTACCATTTACAACGAAAACTTTTTAGGAACCAGTCTGTGCTTTGTCCCGTTGTTGTAAACACAGAAAATAAGCGCAGCATGCTGGTAGAAATGGGATTCATCAGTACAGCCTCCTGCTTTCCTTTTAGATGATCTAATTTGCGTGAAAAACAAGGAGCAGGAACCAGTAGCGATTATTTTAACGCCAAAATTCATAGTAAGAACATACAGGCAAATTGAGTAAGTTATTTGTGGGGATGTGGAGAAGCGGGAGAGAAGAAAACAGAACTACAGAACGGTGGGGTACGAAGTGAGTGGTGGAGAGGAAAAGGAGTCTGAAGAGGGGGGGAGGGGATGGTTACAATTTAAGGTATGAGGCAACTGAGTTAGCCAGCCATCCCTTTCATAAAAAATTGAAATAGAAATATATTACAATAGAAAGGAGGGACCACTGAAGTCCAGCAAAAATTGGTCATTCCAAACAAGATCGACGGGGAGGTGGATGTTGTGAAGATGTAATTTGCGGCTGTAGGTAGGCCGAAGCATACCTTATTTGCGTGAAATAAGGTAAACCGGAGGTAATTCAAGCTCACTGTTTCTGCGTATTTTTTTAGATATGATTTCTATCAAAGCAATTCGCATATAGTTGTGGCAGTCCTAAAACGAGGTGTATCGGAAGAACATTGTTCGGTGCAGTGCACAGCCGATGGTCATTTAACAGTGACAGCAGAGGGTGAAAATGTACTGGACATACAACTGTATCGTCCAATTGTGCCGAATTCTCCTTTAGTGAAATGTTTGCCGTCGAAGGTATGAACTAATCTAACACAAATATGTTTGGTAGCACATCTCCGTCAGTAGAACAATTGTAAATTTGTACTGGCATATTAGCTCACCTGTAAGTGCACTCTTTGCATAGG